GGAGCTGAGAACTGAACCCAAGACCTGTGCTTGCTAGACAAGTACTTTACCACTGTGCTAAAGCCCCAACCCCATCAATAGTCTTATCCAGCTGTAAACCTTGCTAACTTTAGTAATGACTGATCTGACAAGATAGCCTCATGGCTGTGATAGTGGCACGAATGTCATGGGAGTAACCAGTGGCTTTCTAATTGGATTCGAGGCCCACTATAAACCTGGCCAAACCCCAGGGCTGAGGAGCTCACAGGCCCTATAGGGACTATATGAATCAATTACCGTTATGAACATGGTATTAAGCAGCCTTCTAAATATATGAGGATAATTTGTTTGTTTGTTTGTTTGTTTATCAAGACAGTTTCTTTGTGTAGCCCTGGCTGCTTTGGATCTTGTTCTGTAGACCAGGCTGGTCTCGAACATACCTGCCTCTGCCTCCAGAGTGCTGAAATTAAAGGTGTGTGCCACCATGCCCAGCTACTGAAAACAATTTAACAAAATTCAATCTGCAGGTATGTGGGTCAGCCTGAAGACCATAAAGCAAAAAGCTGATCAGAACAAAAATGAGCCTCAAGCCAGAAACTTGACATTCAAGCTCTTCCTCGAACTGTCCCAGTGGCTTCTGGGAGTTCTTTCAGATGATGTTTGTTGTAGTGCTTCTGGGCTGCCAGGACAGAGAACACACCAGGCTGACCGTAAGCAACGGAAAAAGTTCTCACAGCTATAGAGGCTCCAGGGCCCAAACCAAGGATTATAAATTACCAGCTTCTCCTGGGGTCCTCTGCATTAAAGACTGCACCAGCCAGCACTGATGGTCCTTTTTAAAGCACAAAACTGTGTTGAGCAGGGCTGCAGCTTAGTGGCCTCCACACATCAGAGGCCCCATCTCCTAACACATCACCCACCACGTATAGCCCAGCCTTCCTACCAATGCCCCTTGCATCACACTCCCATTCCTAGCCTGACTAAGAAACTTTACCCTTTGAAAAGTAAACTTTACTCTCCTAAATTTGCAAAGCGGTTTTCTTACATAGTTGGAGATCTCTCTTCCCTGTTATGTAAATATTTGTAATACAAATAATGTTCTGTTTCCTGATTCCATCTTCGGAAATATGTAAACATAGGAAAGGTGATATGTGAAATACCTCAACTAATACCAATTAAAGAATATATGGATTATGATTTATTTTTTTATTTATTCCAATTTTTGCTAATTTAATAACTTGCTTATTGAATTCAATAGTCAATTGGTTATCTTTTTCACAGAGAATTCATACATATTTCTATATCATTTTAGAGTATTTTATAAGAATAACAAAGATATATATTGGGAGATAGAGAGATGGCTAAGCAATTAACAACACAGGCTGCTTTCCAGAGGGCCTGAGTTTGGTTCCCAGCACCAACGCCAGGCAGCTCACAACCACTTATAGCTCCAGCCCCAGCAGACTGGACACTCTCTTCTGGCTTCCACTGGTATCTGCACTTGTGTGTGCATGTGCACGCACACATATATATACATTTAAAAAAATAATCTTTAAAACATTTTTTTCTTGACTGTGGGCAACTTCGAATACATAAAAACACCTGGAAATAGGCAGATGAACAATTACTAATTACTACATCTAACTCAGGCAGGTTTCACACAAATAGCAGCACTGTGTAATCCTGGCAGGGGGCTGTCCTCTGTCAAAGGTCTGAAGGTTGCATTTCACTGAAAATAAAGAATGCTGATCTGATCAAAAGGTTGAAAATGCTGGTGCTAATGACAGCAGAAAAGCCTTTGGGGACCTTCTGATTGTACTTCATCACACTGTCCTACTGCATAAACTGAACACTGTTTGTGGAAGAAGGGAGCATTTAAAGAAGTGTGTGGCTTTATAGGAGGGGGGTAAAGTGCTGCCCCCAGTCTTGAAATGCCCACTGAGAGCAGCCACTGCACTCTCGTGCCGACTCTCACAGAGACTCCCCCGAGAAATGAGTTCCAAGTAACCTTAGTTCCCATGGCTCCTGCTCATTACAGAAAGATGCTGCCTCCAATGTTTGCTAATTATGATGGAGACCAGAAACCCAGCAAATTTCAAAGGAAACAATGGAAACCAACATCTGAAAACCATTTCCTGCTGGCCTTTGTCATCCCGCTACTCACGGCAGATCTTCCAGTTTGGAGGCCTCGTGTCTCGGATCCAACAGGTCGTAGCCACATTCATTGTAGATTTCCAAGTAAGAAATGTGTGTTGTGTAGATCTTGCTGCTGTCCTGGTTGGAGAAGAAGGGAAAGGCATTATGTAATGACTAAAAACAACTGTTTGTCCCTGGGCTTTCTCACAGCATCCCTCCTTTGCCTTTCCATTTTGTAGGATTTACATTTGCAGTTTGTGACACTTTTGAGTTACTGTGGCCATCTGCATAAAGTGGTTTTTTTTGCTATATCCAATATCCATGATTACAAGTAATTTCAGTTTATCAGTTTTTATTGGTTCCACATTATACATAAAATGTCAAAATACACTTGCAGTGAGCCAAGTTGGCTATAGAACTGAATAATACATTGTATTTTACTTTCCAGATCCCCCAAAAAAGTTACTAAGAAAAAACAAACAAGTTTGCATTCTGTGAATTGTCTATTTATACAAGAGCAGAGGTTATTACTTTGGTTCAAAGACCAGGAGCCAAAGTTTCCGTTCATGATCATACTATGATGTGGGATTCCCCTCTGAATGCTGTGAATACCACTGGTCAACAAAGAAACTGTCTTGGGCCTGTACAGGGAATAGAGGGGGGGATGGGACTGAACTGAATTCTGAGAGGAAGAAGGCAGAGTTAGAGAGAAGCCATGTAGCCCCACCAGAGCCAGATGGAACTTTACCTGGTAAGCCATAGCCACATGGCAATACACAGATTACTAAAAATGGGTTAAATTAAAATGTATGAGCTAGTCAATAAGAAGTTAGAGCTAATAAGCCAAGCAGTGTTTTAAATAATATAGTCTGTGTAATTATTTTGGGTCTGAGCTGCTGAGCGGCCTCCTTCAACAATACTTAATTTTCTTTCCTTTCCTACTACTCAGAATTTTATATTCTTCTAAAAAAAGAGTTATTATTTACTCTCTCTCTCTCTCTCTCTCTCTCTGTGTGTGTGTGTGTGTGTGTGTGTGTGTGTGTGTGTGTGTACATGCACATGAGTTCAGGTACCCACAAAGGCCCGAAGAGGGCATCAGATTTCCTGAGCTGGAGTCACCCAATGTGGGTTCTGGAAATGAAACATGGTTCCATGCTGAGAACAAGCTATGAAACACTCCTGTTCTTGCAAAACTGACATACGAGAAGCATGTCTACATGTCAAGTCCTACCAAAAGTACCTGGGCACCAATGAACCACGTGGCTGTTGCTACTGTTACTGCTGTTGATAAATGTTTCCAAGTATTATGTCTGGAATCCTGCAAACGGAGAATTAAGTATGATGGGTTTCCAGGGAAGAGTAACCGGAGAAGGACAACCCTCCTGAACATGGATGGCATCTTCCCATGGGCAGGGGTCCTGAACTGAGTGAGTGGGAACAGAGAGGAAGGGCTTGAGCACTAACATTCATCCCTCCGTCTCTGACTGTGGACACAACATGACAAGTCAGGACATGTTCCCACCACCACGCCCTCCCAACACGGGGTACTTATATCCTCAAATACTGAGGCAAAATAAGCTGGTTTTGTTGGGTATTTGGTTACAGCTCTGGTCAAAGTAGATAAAATAATATAAGAATATAAAAGGAATGGACATGAGAAACCAACAGTGAACTTGAGCCACCATCTGTAATGGGACACTCTCTTCTTTAGAATTAGGATAAGAAGTCAGGGAAATGGCCAGCCCACCACCCAGGCCATAAAGACAATGCCTCGGCTCATCCAGCATTTTGCTTCTGCAGTTTTTCTGGCACACACACTCCAATCTCACTGAGTGATGTGGCGAGCTACCTTTCTTGGTCCTTTTCAGCATCTGGGTTGCCAGACTGTAATGTAGCACACATGTTTCCTGCAGACAGACATTTCTTCTGACCCAAACAAGTGTGAGCCTCACAATGCTCCAGTGTGAAGAGAAGGAGTCCTGAAACAGATGGAGTCCTCCCCAGTCCAGCGGAAATGCGGGCTCACTCCCTGGCTTTCACAACACAGGCTGCTCTGGGCGCTTAGTTTGTCTTGAAGGACTTGGCTTTAGTCTCATGCTGAGCTCTCTGATCTAGGACAACTCGCAGAGCCTCTGGCTCCGGTCTCCACTGTGGACACAGTTCACGTTGCACTTTAAGTTGCCCGGCTTGTTGTTAGTCCAATCCACTATGATTATGATGAACGTGTGTGGCCCATGGCAGAAACTGGTCCATTTCAGTTTCCCTGGCTGTCAGTTGGTCAGGTGGGCTTTCTCCAAGTCCAGGGAATTACTTGGGATGATTCATAACTGAATAAGGTTTAGAGTGACATCAGTGACAAGGCAGTATCCAACAACCCTGACGATGGTCAGTGCCTGGAGACCTGAGACTTCTCGAGTGCTCTTGGGTTAGCACGGAGAAGATCTTAGAAGAGACAAACTGTGCTTTCCATTAGGAGAGGATTGTTTATTCTAGTCAGCCTAGCCAGGAAAACTGGCTTCAATGATTCTGAGAGCTTCAGAAGGGATTCTAAAACTAGGCAGTTATCATTAGGCCAATGGACATACATGAATATTGATGAATATGGTAGCAATCGCTAAGTGTTTGCATGTACAGAAATTAATGGTATGGTAATAATGATCATGAACTAAGCATTCTCAGTGTGATAAGAAGTTTAAAAGTTTATTATTATTATTTTTAATTACATTTGTCTCTGTGGATGCATGCATGAAAATGTACTGTCTGCAGAGGCTAAACAGAGTGCTGATTCCCTGGAGCAGAGAGCGGCCTCTGTGGGTGCTCAGAACAAAGCTCGAGCTCTCTGCACGCACGACACTGAGACATAAAGCCACGTGCCACCAGGACACACATCCTCAGAACCCTGTCAGTTCTTCTAGGATGACAGCTTTCCTCCTAGGACCATGGCAATGAAAGCTATCAGAGACCACAGCCCCGTTTGTGAAATGTGTGAACAAGGCAAAACAGGTAGAGTCGGGGCTACACGGGACGAGAAGGCTCTGGGTGTGTACACACCACTCAGCCCTTCCTCCTCCGCCTTCTCCGGCTCACAGTTGGCATTCTTGGGCCAGTGAGAGCAGAGCTGAACTAATGGATAATTGCTGTTTTATGGATGGCAATTAGAATTATGCAGCTCTCAGCAATTTCTTCTCGTCTTTGCAACTCAAAATGCAAATAACATTCAGTAGGGAATTCCAGAATGACTGCCGCAGCAAGCCAGTTAGACATTTATACAGAGTCCAAGGACTTGCTGGAGCTGGAAGGGAGGCAGAGAGCTTCCAGAACAGTTCAGCCCTTGCTTTCAGAAAATGGAAAGCAGAAACCCACAGAAGTTAAGTGACTCATCACAGGAAATGGATTCAAACACAGCCAACAAAACAAAGCCAATCTGAACTACAGGGGAAGCAGTTTGGCTTACAGAGTTGTGGGCTGGCTATTGTAAGAAGTGAACCCAGAGAAAAGTATCTCAATGGAGGCTCACTTTTTCCAGTGCTAAGATGGGAATCAAGATGCCTAGTTTGCTAGTTACAATATATGTTGTATTTAAAAGTCCCACATGGAGAGATGGCTCAGTGCTTTAGATCACTTTTTATACTTTCAAAGAACATGGGTTCAATTCTCAGCACCCATATGGTTTCTCACACCAACCTTACTCTAGTTCCTGGAAATCTAATACACTCTTCCGCCTTCTGTGGGCACCAGGCATATGCATATGTGGGCATGGACACACATGGGTAAAACATTCATAAGTAGGTAACATATACAGGAGAGACAGGGAATGCCTCTAGAATGTGATTATGTTCACTGCAGTGGGATTTGTATTCTGACAAATTCCTCCAGCTTCTATTATTACCATGGCAAACTGACAATCATGCCGTCTGATTGGTTTGGTATTTTAGGAAATAGAAAAAAGATTTGTCTTAGTAAAAGGGTTTCCAACTGCAGAGATACTAGCTGGAAAAAGGTGTGATTTGAGTGGGAAATGGCTCCGTGGATGAAGTACTGGCTGTGGCAGCATGCAGATCCAAGTTCAGATTCCCAGAATTCATGTGAAAAACTGGCTATGGTGGTGAATGGCAGTAACCCTAATGTCGGGCTGGGGGGAGAGAAGAACACCCCAGAGCCCATTGATCAGCCAGTCAAATCAGTGAGATCCTAGCTCAAAAAAATGGAAACAGAAGAGTATCAGTGGAGAACAATAGAGGGCCTCAAACATCAACTTCTGCACCACTCCCACACATACACGCTCACACATATGCATGTTCACACACATGCAAGTTCACACACATGCACAGCCCCACACATGCACACTCACACACATACATGCGTGTACACTCATACACATGCACACTCACACACATGCACATTCACACAAATGCATGCTCACATACACGCAAGCTCACACACATGCACACTCCCATACATACAGTTCCACACATGCACGCTCACACAATTCACACTCACACACATGCACACTCACACAATGCACACTCACACACATGCACACTCATACACATGCACGTTCACACACAGGCATGCTCCCACACATGCAGGCTCCCACACATGCACATGTCCACAATGCACGCTCCCACACATGCACATTCATATACATGCATGCTACCACAAATGCACATTCTCACAATGCATGCTCCCACACATGCATATTCCCACACATGCATGCTCCCAAACATGCACGTTCACACACATGCACGCTCCCACACACTCACATTCACACACATGCATACTCACACACATGCACGCTCACACAATGCACACTCCCACACATGCACATTCACATACATGTACATTCACATATATGTATGCTCCCATACATGCATATGCACACACATGTACAATCTTATACATGCAAGTTCACACACATGAATATTCACACACATGCACACTCACACACATGCAATCTCACATACATGCAAACACACATGCACACACGCACATATGCACATTCACACACATGCACACTCACATACCCAGCCCCACTGCATCCATTACACCAACTCCTACTCCACCAAAAGCTTTCTCTCTGAATCTGTAGGCATCTCAAATTTAACCCCAACCCTTGATGAAGTCCCAGACCTGGTATGAGAAGCACCTTGTTTATTTCCACTCCTCTGGCAAAGTCCAAACCTCCTTAAGTGTAGAGACCAGTGTTATTCTACAGTAGCATCTTTCCAAGTGGGTACAGTGTAACAGATAGATGCCTTAGCACATTTCCTCACCATGGTGCACTTGCTGAATAGATCAAATTACATGTGAACTCTATTTTCTTTACCTTTTGCAACTGCTCAAAAACATATGAGAGAGTCCTTGGGATGATGCCTCTGTCGCTGTAGCGCTCAGCCCCGCCTGTGATGGTGAAGGTCTTGCCACTGCCTGTCTGCCCATATGCGAAGATGGTACCATTGTAACCTGCCAAGACACTGCAAGAAGAAATGACAGTGTTATAATAGCTAAATGGTCACCCACACTGGTACTAGGGGCCTCGTAGTTGAAAAGCAGCCTAGGGTTATCACCAAAATTATATTTATAAAGTATTTACAACATCTATGACATCCCAGCTACAGTTGTGTGTGTCCTAAGGTGCCTTTGTAGGTGTGCATATAGAGGCCAAATGTTAACACTATGCATCTTCCTAAATACTTCACCATATTTTTTGAGACAGCCTCTCTCATTGAAATCAGGAGCCCCAGGGAGCCCCAGGGAGCCCCAGGGAACCCCAGGGAGTCTCCTGTCTTTACCCGCCTATCTCTTGGATTACAGCTCATGCTGCCAGGCTCAGCTTTTATGTGGATGCTGGAGACGAAACTCAGTTTGTCATGTTCGGGTGGCAGGTATTTTCCCCACTGAGCCATTCCCTGGCCTTTAGGATAGTTTTTATCCAGGAATTTTAGGGTGTTGATGCCTTTCTCTCAGGAAGGACATGCCACTCAGACAGTCCAGCATCATCATGCTGTTTCTGGGTTTATCACTAGGCTAAAAGAGGGAATCAAGAAAGATCATCTCAGTGAAACAGTTTTGATTTGGCAAGGTGTCTGGCTGCCCCTGCATGTAACCCTCTGGTACATCTTAACATCGGTAGCCACCCTACATTTCTAAGTACACCCTTTGGCAATAGTGCTTCTTGAACTGTATTTCCCTATGTAGCACCTACCATCAACACAAAGCCCTCAGGATCCCCCCACACCAGGATGATTTTTTTTTTTTTTTGGTGGAAGATGTTGGTCCATGTGTGCTATTTAGACCAGCCGAGCATCCTATGATTTGACAGGGGTCTTAGGAAGCCTTCGAACCACCATCTGTAATATAGGGCTTTGAAGTGTGCTCTGTATGATGTGGGCTTTGAAGAGTGGACCTCTTAACTAGGCCACATGCAACAGGAAACTCTTGAAGTTTTGCTATTTTTCTTGCTTACAAGTGGCTCCTTGATCCCCAAGATGTTATCAAACCAGCTACCAGAAAGTCAGCTAATGGGGCCCACGTTCCAAGTGAGTTTTAAGTGGACGGCTCTCTGAACCCACGTTTTGCTATTTGCATGGGGAATCCTGCTCTATTCGGCTGCTGAGATGCCTTCGACACTTCACTCCCGATCTCTGTTTTTGTGACGTGTTGAACGACCGACCTTATAGTGTCCTGAGACAACACAGGTGTTGACCAGACTTTATTTGAAGAGATCAGTTAGCGCTCAGCGTCCCACGTAGCTAGAACCCTCACAAACCATGTGTGCAGCCACAGACTGATGTGAGCTCTGCTCTGTAGAGAGGTGCAGGAGTTACTTACAAACCTGAAGGACTTAGTACAGGGAGTGGGAAACAAACTACTGAGCACCAGTGCTCTGTTTCCAGGAAGGTGGGTCATGTTTCCAGCTGTGTCTTCACAGAAACTGTACACTGTTGACATTCCCAGCTTGTAAGAGGCTGTGATTCCCACGATGCATGAAGTTGGATTGTTACTGAATCTTTTCCATCAGTGGAATTTATCACCAAGGAGACAGTGTCTCATTGTAGTACCATTCGTATGTAGAATGTCCCTTGCCACAGATGCGCTGAGTAAATGCGGTCTACAACTTTAAGTATCAGACCTTAAGCACTGCACCGATTCTCGACAGAAAGAATTGCTTAGACACATGAGGCGGTATCAGCTGTAAAAAGCAAAGACTTTGAGCACAAATTAGCATTTCCATTTGAACATAGACACAGTCTATGAGAAGAGATGCCTGAGGGTAATCTGTGCGTCCTCACTGGCCATCCATCCGATTTTTTATATCAAAATCTTACCTCACACTGCTAGCCACCTGTCTGTCCGCTCTAACATGTGTTTCCTTATCTGCTGTGGGATGGAAAACCAGACACCACAGTTCCACAGAACACAGCATTTTGTTTTAACAAAAGAACACAGGACCCACCTACTCTCTCCAGCCCCGATAGTGGCGTATCACACTGCACCAGTGAAAATTTACACAAAGGAGCAATGGTGAAATCAGCCCATTTCCTTCATCTAGAAATTCCTTTTCCCAAATTAATCTTGTGCTCACTGTGTCCCAGGCATTTCCACACGCTGTTTTAGCCTCATCTGCCCTAAGAGAAAACACAAGTTTAACATAAAAATATAGAGAAGATGATACAACAACCTGCAAGCTCCATTCCTCCACAAGAACACAGACAACATGGCAAAAGGTGTCAAGATCTCTTCCTCATGATCCTGAAAAGTATCTCAGGTAATGCTTTTAAAAAATGAAACAAAAAACTCAGTAGAAACCTTGAGTTTCATGGTGCTTCAACTTCAGAATTCCTAGCCTTTGCTCCAGTTTCAAGGAAACCTTTAAAAATTATGTACCTAGAGGAATGAGAGCCTTACACCCTGGGTAGCTCAGCTAGTGCTGAAGGAGCAGTGGGGCCCTGGAGCCCCTCACAAGCCTCCCCAGGCTGCTCCTTCCTCGGTTCCCAGCAAAGCTCTACTTAGAGAGTGGAATACAACTCTTTTGACTCAAAGTCCTCACTGTGCACGGACCTGGTTACAGGCAAATATGTAACATCCAAGTCTTCTGGGGAGGTAAGACCAGTGAGCTAAGCATGAAGGTAGCAAAACCTTACAAAGTTGGTTGACAATGACAGCACAATACTTTGAAAAGACCCTTGACACTTTCAGGATACTAGAAGACCATACCCAAAGCATATGCCTAGTGAGAAAGGACTTGAGAAGAGGTTTTGTTGTTGTTGTTGTTTTTTGGTTTTTTTTTTTAAATCTCCCCGTGATTGGCCTCGAGTCTCTGCACAAGAAGTGAGTGACAGAAAGACAGAAACACAAAGTTCTAGATGTTGAAGGCATGTCTCTACATAGAGGCAGAAATGCCCCTGTGGCAACTGGGAAAGATATGTCTAAGCCATTTAAGGACCACTTTACCCACAAAACTGACCTCTGTGCTAACTGGACAGAGACCACATGTGCTAGTACCTTTTCTATTTCTGTGATTAAAACACAGGACACTGACCAAGGAAGAAAGAGTTTGTCTGGACTACAAGTTTCTGAGGAGTCAGAGTCCATGGTGGCAAAAGTCACAGCACAGACAGGGGGGCCAGGGAAGGAGGCCAAGGGCTCACATCCTCAAGCGTTAGTGAGAAGCAGAGAGCAAACGGAGAATCAGACCCTGGCCTCAGGACACACTTCCTTCAGCAAGACCACCCCTCAGATGTCCCCACAAAACACCAGCAACTGCAGACCAGCTGTTCAAACACTGCAAGCCAAGGGCAGAGCCCATTTAAGCCACCACAGCACGGGGATGAGACAGTTAAGGGAGGTGGTTCTGGTGGCAAAAGCAGCTTCTGTGGCAGATGTGAGGACCTGAGTCTGAAGTCCCAGCACCCATAGAAAAGGCCAGTGTGCTGTCTGTATACCTGCAGCCCCAGCACTGGGGAGCAAAGTGTCTGGAGCTGACTGGCCACCAGCCTAGCTCTAGGTTCAGTGAGAAGTTCTGTCCCTTGAAGGACTAATACGGAGAATGATGGATGGGACAGCAGATATCTCCTCAGGCACAGGCTCCGCAACTAAAGAACAGGAAAAACGCGACTGAAGATTTGGTCAGTCACTGCCCCCCTCTGTTTCTTTGCCAGAATGGACAAAACTTTTACAGAATTTCTATGGAAACCAAGGGTTATGTACAGACAAAACAATCTTGACAAGGACACAGGTGAGAACTCCTACTTTCCAATTCCTGATAACTGGAAGGCTCAAAGAATTTGGACAGGAAAATACTGACATAATTTTTTGGTTGTGAGCCTAGCCTTCAATGGTTGAGCCATGGTAGGTTATGCCTTTAATCCCAGAACTCGGGAGACAGAGACAAGCAGATCTCTGTGAGTTCAAGAGGTCTACACAGTGAGTTACAGGACAGCAGGACGGTTTCACAGAGAAACCCTGTCTTGGGGAAAAATGCTGACATAAGGGGAGCAATATGAATCAATGGAATTGAACTCAGAGTCCAGAGTCAGATCCCACGTGGAGGCTGGGATGCAATGAAGTTGGCTAGCATTGTTTCAGTGCTGTCTGTCAATTACAGCTGGTTTCCCAAGTGTGATGATGAGATTATTCAATAGGAGACAGGATAAGGGAAAAATAGGAAGATGGACAAAGTGGGACAAAGTATGTGTGTGTGTGTGTGTATATATATATATATATATATATATACATATGTGTGTGTGTGTGTGTGAGTGAGTGACTGTGTCCACATGTATGCAGTTGTCCACAGACATCTGAAGAGGACATCAGATTCTACAGAGCTGCCATATACAGACACCCACTGTTTGGCACGTCACCTACCTTGCAGGGGAACTGACAACAAAATTGCAAGCCACAGCACATGATAAACTATATCACAACATAGCAAAAGTCAGTTCAAACATAGAAAATAGGGCCAGAAAGGTGACTTAGAAAGTAAAAGGTGCTTGGTGCTTGCTGTCAAATATGAGGAATTGACTTTAATCCATGGGAACCACATGATAGAGAAAACAGACTTCTCTGAACTATACACACATACACCACACATACATACATTACATACACATATACGGTCATATACACCAATACACACCCCAAACATACATACACACCCCAAACATATATACATACTCCCTCACATACGTACAACCCCCCACAAACATACCTATTCATACACACAAAATACAGTCTTCACACACATCCTACACATACACAAATACCCTACACACATACATATATCATCTACACACATACGTAGTTACATGTACATACTCATACACATGCAGTCATGATACACACACATACACACATACTCCTCCTACATACTTATATCTCCCCATACATGCAAACATGCATACTCATATTCACACACACACCCATACATACACACTCTCCACACACATCCCTCCCCACACACATAACCCCCCAC